GCAACTGGTGGGTTTTAACCAACGATCTTGTAGTTCAAACAGACCTTGTGGTCCAGTGCTTATCCTACAGTGCCACACTAGGGCTTAATTTCTCTTGGTTTTAATTTCCTCTTTTATCAAAATCTGCATGATAATAAACTGACTCAAGATTGTGATAAGTATTAAATACCATTCTGCTTGAAAAGTACTCATAATAATATGTTGCAAAATAAGTACTCAGTAAACATTGGTCAATGTTATTTATTTTTATTAAATAAAATTATCTCCTTTTCAACAGTTCCTGTATTATACCTATAAAAAACTCCTTAAAATACACCAGTATGTAACATTTGCTATACAGTCATTCTTAGTTATGTTTTGGAGTCCTGGTGTGGCCCTGTAGGCTAAGCACTCGACCACAACGTCAGTTTGAACCACAGATCAGCATTTCAAACTCAACAGCCACTCCTTGGAAACGCTATACAGAGTCACTATGAGTCGGAACTGATTTAACAGCACTTAACAACAATAACATTCCAAGAAAATTAAGTCATACAGTATTTAAGAATTTTTAAATTCCTTTCTTTCCAACAAAGAGGCTTATTAAAATTAATGCCAGTTACAAGTAGCCATATATAATTTCTTAATATTCTTTGTAAGGAGTTCTGATAGCATAGTAGATTACAAGCTAGGCTGCTAACTGCAAGGTCAGCAGTTCGAATTTACCAGTTCCTCCACAGGAAAAAGATGAGGCTATGTGCTCCCATGAAGATTTACAACCTGGGAAAGTCTATACAGGATTGCTATGAGTTGGAAGCAACTTCACAGTACACAACCACTACCACTGCTCTTTGTACAACAAAACTCTTCTAAGCTGGGAACAAAACAAAGAAACTCTTAAAACATTTAGAAAAACTTATGTTGAGTACCTAGTATCTGTTATGTTCTCTGCATAACTCAGTACGTGCATGTACTGGGCAAAGTGGGAAAGAAGAGACCGTATGCCCAAGGAATTCAGTTTAGTGAGGGAGAAAGCAAAAGAAATAAATGACCTCTGCAATGTAATTTGATTAGCAACACTGCCTGCTAAGAAGAAAATTAAAGATATTAAAACACAGGACATGAATTTTCCAAATTTTATTTTTTCAGTTCATCAATTAATTTTATATTGTGACTTTCAAATTCAGTTCTTGATATCAAAGAATATCAAGCAAAGTTAGCTTGTAATCAATTGAGAACATTTTTCCCTAAAATTATGGTAAATATTAAAGAAAAGTTTTATTTATTCATTAAAACAAATGCATATTTCTTTTAGAAAGTAATGATTTCAATTGTATCTCAAGAGAAATAGAAAAATAAACATTTTTTAACTCTTAAGAACTTAAGAAGTACTGACTGAGTTAAGATTACGGTTAGAAATGAACAATGAAAAATAAAGGCATTATTATTAATTTGTCAAATAAATTATTCATATTTATCTGCATGAAAACAATTGTTTCTCATAAACATTAAATCTTTCTCTAAACCTCAATCATTTTAGATCGACAGTCCTCAAAAGAATAAATGTTAAGAAGTTATTATTTTGGTTACAGAACTATATGCACAAAGTTTAAAGAACCATGTAAATCCATAAATTTAAATTGCATTTAGAAAAAACATCCAATACATGAGTTTCATATCTATAATATTGTTTAAAATCTCATCTTATAGTCTGACTAAATTTCCATTATTATTTTCTGTTTTTCTATTTATCCTGAAATTTCAGGCACTTGTTTTAGCAGCTGTTCCAAGCACAGAACATTTTTTCCCTAACAATATAATTATTGCTGTAATAATCTGTAATTATGGTTTATAACTGCAATAATCCCAAAGAAATGAGTCATTACCATAGATCACAAGTAATCGTTAACTACTGTTAATGACCTATTTCTTAGGGATTATTGTTTTTGTAAACCATGACCATATCACCACAAATACAGAAGAGCAAGACAATATAATACAAATGAGATCATAATGTAATAATAAACTTATTTTGTAACATTAAAAGCCATTAAGCATCTAAATTAAAGCACACATAACGAGGGCATATAATTTTCTTTGTTGAACACTAACTGAAGTAGATTCTACTGAAAAGAAACGGAACACTACTACACATGGTAATATAAACTAATGCCACATTAGGTACTTTTTGTAATATAAAAACATCACTTTTTAGCAGATCAAAGATCTCTTTAAAAAACACACAGATTCCTTGCTATTAACTTTTTGACTAAAAGAAAAATTTATTACAACTATTCTATGTGCCAGGCATTTAAATCTGTAAAGTGTCATTTTACTAAAACTACATAGTACATTCAACTATAAATACTCTGAATTTATATTAATCAAGTTCAGAATGTCTTTTACCTATTTAATACCAATGAATTATTGTATTTCAGCAAATCTCATTTATAGATCCTAAAAATTATGCTTTCATCCAATAATACCCTTATGAAGGAAAACATGTCTTACTGTTTCATATATTATGACATATATCCAATGCATATACAAATATGAACTACAATAAAACCCTAACTTATGAACCAAGGCATTACCAATACTGACACATCTAGCTCTGTATTATGTCTCGTTTCTCCCCTTATCTCTCACAATGGAGGTAAATATGAGCCTACATTTAGTGTGCAGTTGTCCCTTGATATTTTTTCCAGTTCTTTGACATATACGTATATTTCTAAACAATATATTTTTAAGTTTCATTAGTTTTTAAACTTTCATATTAATTCCATATGCACATAACTTCCTGAGAATTGTTTTTTCATACTATATAGCTTTAAGATTCATCATTGTTAAATATAGCTGCAGTTCACCTATTTTTATTGTGTCTTGGTGTGGTGCTGTCGGATAAACATTCAACTGCTAATCTCAAGATAAGTGGTTCAAACCTGCCAGCAAGATATCAGAAACCCTATACAGGGCCACTACAAATCAGAATAGACTCGATGGCACTTAGCAACAACTATAAGATTCATCATTTTATGTACACGTGCAGTTCACTCATTTTTACTGCTCAATAATAATCCGTTGTGTGAATATTTTAAACCAGTTCTGACTCATGGCGACCCATTGTGTATCAGTGTCAAACAGCATTCCATAGGGTTTTCAACAGATGATTTTTCAGAATTAGATTGCCAAGTCTTTCTTCTGAATTACCTCAAGGAGAACCCAAAAATTCCAACTTTAGCAGTTAACAGCTGAGCACATTCAGCACTTGCATCATTCAGGAACTTTACATTTATCATATGACTCAGCAATTCAAGTCTTAAGTATTTATTCAAGAGAAATGAAAACTTAAATACACAAAAAGGCATGTGTACAAATGTTCATTGACTCATTATCCATAAAAGCCAAACTCTGTAAGTGGAACCCAAATGTCCATCAACTAGTGCATACATAAACAAAATATGGTAAAAACCTACTTTGGAATACTAAGCAGCAACAAAAAAGAACAAACTATCAATACATCATATTTGAATCTCAGAAACATTATGGTAAGTGAACAAAGTCAAACACAGACGGCTACTTATCATAGGATTCCATGAATACAGAAAGTCTCAAAAAGACAAAACCATAGTGACAGAAATCAGACCACTAGTTGCCTGGGTCATGGGTTAAGGTACACAATCAAAGAGCATGAGAAAACAAAGAAAATGCTCTCTACCTTGATTGTGGTTATATATAATGTTGTTGTTGTTGTTAAGTGCCATCGAGTCGGTTCCGAACCATAGCGACCCTGTACAGGGTTTCCGAGGGTGTAAATCTTTACGGAAGTAGAAAGCCTCATCTTTCTCCCGCGGAGCGGCTGGTAGTTTCGAACTGCTGACCTTAAGGTTCACAGCCCGATTCGTAACCACTATATATAATAGCTACCTATAATTGCTATATAAAATAGCTATAAGACTATATATAATAGCTGAATTTAGCAAATGTACAGTTTTTAAAAGGAAAGAAAAGAAGATACTTGCAACTCTGACTAGACAAAGGGCCCACTTTTCACATACAGGACTGGCAAAAATGACAAAGCCTGGTAATAATGTTCTTGTGGACAAGAAATAACTCACACAGATTGCTGGCAGGCCAGGGAATTGGTACAGCCATTACATATAGCCCATACAAAGAGCAATTTGGGAATATTTATAATAATCCCATGGTCAGCAGTTCGAAACCACCAGCTGTTCTGCGGGAGAAAGATGAGGCTTTCTGCTCCCATAAAGATTTACAGCCATGGAAACCCTGTACAGGGTCGCTATGAGTTGGAACCAACTCCATGACACATAAAAACAACAACAATAAAAACTACAATACCTTTACCCTTTCACCCCCAAAAAAGGCCACTTTTTATTATTATTATTATTATTATTATTATTAAATGTAGGATACTCAAAGGAGTGGGGTTAGGTCAAAGGAAGGTGGTTAATAAATGGCAGGCAAAGCTATACCACAGAGCGAGGGCAGCATGCCTGACAGTGAGAATGGGTACTGAGAGCATGTAAGAGCCACAGTCTCCTGCTTAACTTTACTCTTATCCTTAAGATTCAATATTACCAGTGCTGGCCCAGTGAAAGGGTCCACAACTTGGCCAACAATTCTTCCAGTTCTTGTCAAGTTCTGACTCTTCTCCTGAAGTCTTCTTCAGTGTGCTCTTTCATTAACAACCTGCCTCCTTCATGAAGACTGGTTCAGATTATCTCCAAGAAAAGCTTTGCAAACGCAGTACTCAGAACCACTCGCTCACGGGTGGCAAGGACCAAGTCCAGGAACATTTTCTAACCTCAGTCCTGCAGCCGCAACATCTCCATGGTTTCTGTGGGCAATGAATGACTTTCCTTGATTTTAATGGAGAGATCATTGCAGGGATTGTAAACAAATAGGGCATAACTCTCTGGGAGGACCATGTCATATGCAGTCAGGTGAATATTTACAACACCATACTCATCATCTACCTCCAAATTAATAGGTCTCACTTCCACTCTCCCTCTCTTCTTCTTGAGCCCTTATGCTTTTATCTTCTTGAAGTGGCATTTTTATTTTGGTTATCTGTGCCCCATTATATGAATTTGGGTTCAGCTTTTCTATGGATGCAAAAACCATTGTTAAAATTTTGAGATGGCCTGTATTGGATCTGTAGATCTCTTTGAGTAACCTTGGCATCTCAACAATACTAAGTATTCCAATCCATGAACTAAGGATGTCTTCTTAGATTTCTGTCAGGAATGTTTTATGGTTTTCAGTATATATAAAATCTCTTACTTTCTTGTTTAAAATTTATTCCTAGGAATTTCATCCTTTCAAATGCTTTTGCAAATTAAATTTTCAAAATGTCCTTTCAGATTGTTCACTACTGGTGCATAAAAACACAACTTATTTTTATTGTTGATCTTTTAACCTGGAACTTTCCTTAATTTCTTAGCTATAGTAAATTTATATGTGAGTGGATTCTCTGAGATAAGCTATTTATGGTGGTGGTGATTATGTGCCGTGGAGTTGGTTCCGACTCAAAGAGACCCTGTACAGGGTTTCCAAGGCTGTAAATCTCTACAGGAGCAGAAAGCCTCCTCTTTCTCCTGTGGAATAACTGGTATTTTCGAACTGCTGACCTTGAGGATCGTAGCCCAATTCATAACCACTACGCTGCCAGAGCTCATTATGCTATTTATAAGAGCATATTATCTACTAATAGTTTTACTTCTTCCATTTCAATATGGGTGCCTTTAAATTTTTATTCTTGTATAATTGCACTGGCTAGAATTGCTTAGAATAACTGTGCTGAAAACAGGTATCATTGTCTGATTCCTAATCTTAAGGGAAAAGCATCAAATCTTTCCCCAATGAATATGATGTTGTTGCTGTTGCTATTAAGTGCCATTGAGTCAGTTCCAACTAGAGAGATCCTGTATAGAGTTTCTGAATCTTTAAATCTTTGCTGGAACAGAAAGCCTCATCTTTCTCTCACGGAGCATCTGGTGGGCTCAAGTATGATATTAGCTGTGGGGTTTTTATAATTCGTTTTATTGTGTTGAGAAGGTTCATGTCCATCCCTAATTTGCTAAACATTCTTACCATAAAATTTTTGGATTTGGATGCATTTCGCCATCAGCTGAGATGATAATGTTTTGTTTTGTTTTGTTTTCTATTGTTCTACAAATGTAGTGTATTATATGGAATGAGTTTATTAGGTTGAAGCTCTCTTATACTTCTGGGATCAGTATCCTTTGACCATAGTATACAAAGGGCCTTGAAAAAGCTCATGGAAAAATAGAATTAAAAGATAAAGGATAAAGAACAAATAAGATGGCAGACTGGGTAGAAGTGCAGTGAAGAGCTCCGTCCGCAACAACACAAAATACTGGATCAAGCAGGCTCAGAGGATGGTGCCAGAATTCTCAACCACATATAAAGGAATATTTAGCAGGTTGGAAGGCTTACAGCTAGGTGATGTAGCAGAAGCAAAAAATCCATTGCTTTCTAATTCAAGACAATCAGCTGTTCCCAGAGCCACCATCTTGGGCGAGACCAAACAGGGGAAGAATTAGAGCAGCCACAGATGCCTGACAGAACTGCAGAGATAGAGGTGTGTACACTCTTTTTTTTTTTTTTTGTATCTGTTCATTGGTGTCTCGCTGAATGCACAACTCCATTCTGGTGACTACAGGGGGTGCCTGAGTGAGTGGACACCACACCTCCACCCCCGGAGTGTTCTACTACGCATGAGCATAGATATCCTAGAAATGCAAAGTGATAGTTTCTACTTAAAACCAAACAGCAGTGCAAAACGGTCACAGCTGGTCCTGAACTATTCAGCACTAGGAAAAAGGCCTCAACAAGGATTGTGGAGCAGGACAGGCAGACTAAAAGGAAATAGGAGGGAAATTAAATCCTGAGTTA